ATTTTAAGAAATGTAACTTCGGTGTGTAATGCAAGGCATTTTTTTCTCTCTGCCAGGGCTTAGAATGGAAAAATTCTTCAAGGAAGACAGATTGTATTTCAGGTATGGGATCTTCTGGAGTAGTGAGAGGAAATATGATATAAAGGAGGATGTACCGTAAGAGTTCCATCATGTGAAGAAGGAATCAGAAGAGTATTCTCTGATTTACACAAAATTTCTTTTCAGGTAATATAAATTTTATTTATACAACTTCCATTAAATCTATATTAAGAAATATAACTTTGGAGTGTAATGTGAAGCAATTTTTTCTCTCTGGCAGGGCTTAGAATGGAAAAATTCTTCAAGGAAGGTCTTTCAGGTTTGGAATCTTTAGAGGTAGAGAGTGGAAATAGGAAATAAAGGAGGATGTAACTTAAGAGAACCACCATATAAGGAAGGAATAAGAAGAGTATTCTCAGATTTACGCAAAATTTATTTTCAGGTAACATAAATTTTATTTATATTACTTGCATTCAATCTATTTTAAATCTTTTAACTTTGATGTGTAATGCAGAGCATTTTTTTTCTCTCGGTTAGGGCTTAGAATGGAAAAATTCCTCAAGGAAGACAGATTGTCTTTCAGGTTTTGAATCTCCAGAGCTAATGAGAGGAAATACGAAATAAAAGAGGATGCACCATCGGAGATGCAACATGAAAGGAAGAGATAAGAAGAGTATTCTCAGTTTAACGCAAAATTTCTTTTCATGTAATATACATTTTATTTCTATAACTTGCAATCATTGTATGTTAAGTCATTTAACTTTGTTATGTAATGCAAGGAACTTTTTTTCTCACTGTCAGGGCTTGGAAAGGAGATTCTTCAATGACGACTGATTGTCTTTCAGGTATTGAATCTGCAGAGCTAGCGAATGGAAAACGAAATAAAAGAGGATGCACCATCAGAGTACCACTATCTCAGGAAGGAATAAGAAGAGTATTCTCAGATTTACGCAAAATTTATTTTCAGGTAACATAAATTTTATTTATATTACTTGCTCTCATTGTATGCTAAATCATTTAACTTTGTTGTCTAATGCAAAGAACTTGTTTCTCACTGTCAGGGCTTGGAATGGAAAAATTCTTCAATGAAGACTGATTGTCTTTCAGGTTTTGAATCTGCAGAGCTAGCGAAAGGAAATACGGAATAAAAGGGGATGCACCATCAGAGTACCACCATCTAAGGAAGGAATAAGAAGAGTATTCTCAGATTTACACAAAATTTCTTTTCAGGTAACATAAATTTTATTTATATTACTTGCAATCATTGTATGTCAAATCATTTTATTTTGTTGTGTAATGCAAGGAACTTTTTTCTCACTGTCAGGGCTTGGAATGGAAAAATTCTTCAATGAAGACTGATTGTCTTTCAGGTTTTGAATCTGCAGAGCTAGCGAATGGAAATACGAAATAAAAGAGGATGCGCCATCAGAGTACCACCATCCAAGGAAGGAATACGAATTAAAAGAGGATGCACCATCAGAGTACCACCATCTAAGGAAGGAATAAGAAGAGCATTCTCAGATTTACGCAAAATTTCTTTTCAGGTAACATAAATTTTATTTATATTACTTGTATTCTATCTATTTTAAATCTTTTAACTTTGATGTGTAATGCAAAGCATTTTTTTCTCTCGGTTAGGGCTCAGAATGGAAAAATTCGTCAAGGAAGAATGATTGTCTTTCAGGATAGGAATCTCCAGAGCTTGTGAGAGGGAATGCGAAATAAAGAAGCACCTTCAGAGAACCCCCATCTAAGGAAATAATAGGAACAGTGTTCTCAGATTTACGCAAAAGTTTCTTTTCAGGTAATATAAATTTAATTTTTATTACTTGCAATCATTGTATGCTAAATCATTTAACTTTGATGTGTAATGCAAAGTATTTTTTTTCTCTCGGTCAGGACTTGGAATGTAAAAATTCTTCAATAAAGACTGATTGTCTTTCAGGTTTTGAATCTGCAGTGCTAATGAGTGGAAATACGAAATAAAAGAGGATGCACTATCGGAGAACCACCATGAAAGGAAGAAATAAGAAGAGTATTCTCAGTTTTGCACAAAATTTCTTTTTAGGTAATGTACATTTTACTTATATTACTTGCAATCATTGTATGATAAACCATTTAACTTTGTTGTGTAATGCAAAGAACTTTTTTTCTCACTGTCAGGGCTTGGAAAGGAAAAATTCTTCAATGACGACTGATTGTCTTCCAGGGTTTGGTATGTTGAGTCTATCCATCGTCGTACTCCTTAAGCGTCTATGATAATACATACTCCTTAAGCGACTATCCATCCATCCATCTATCCATCCATCCATCCGTTCGTCAGTTCATCCATCTATCCATCCATTAATTCATCCATCCATCCATATCCACAGAGGGTCACATAAATGCTACAACATTCTTCATAAGAAGGGAAGACACATCATCAGAATTAAAATTGCATTGAAACTCATGTCGTTAAATATTGTCATAAGTGGATAAGTAGACTTCCCTATTATAAAGTTCTGTTCAGAAGTACACGAAAAAACAGTTTATAATAGGAAAATGTCCCTTGAGAATTATGATGACATTTCCGAGACGGGGTTCAGACTCAATTTTAATCCTTTAATCTTGATAACTTCTTGATAACTATACAGGAAGTTTTTTGCAGAATTTGTGATTCTGCAAAAAACTTCTAAACTACTTGTTTATTTCGTCCCAAAAAAAAGACAGGCGAAAAAAAATTTTTTTTTCATTAATAAAAATTTAGCTTAGAGAAAAACCGATTGCAGATTTGAAATCGGCGATACCTAAGTATTTAAAATCTGTTACAAATATAACACGCAATTGAAAAAGATATAGATTATCTCCCAGTGATACTCCCAGTTCTATTGTAGTTTCCAATGCCTCTTTACTGTACCAGCAAGCCTGCTGAGTGAAACCAAGCAAATTTTGGGCATATCTAGCGTTTCTTGTTTTCAAGTGGCGTCATCGATTACCAGGAATACGACTTCAGCCAAATCAAACAAACGTCACAGCATTTTTATAGTGCGGACCCATTCATACATCCCTTTATTCATCCACAGATCGTAATTTTCTCTTGAACCAGAGAACGATCAATCTCCATTTCAGTACCTACAGTGGTATTGATTTGTTATGGGAGCATGGTGGACTTTGTGACCCAACATATTTAACGTGCACCAGTCACCCTATACTTAACATGGAGTTTTCGGCTGGTGGTGATCGAACTCACTTCTTTGAAATGGGCCCAACACTCTATCAACCACTATCCCGGCCCAGTTTTCTCAGTTATTATACCCAGTGTGTTTCATGTCAAAAATTTGAAAAAATACGTTATAAAAATGGCTTGTACAGTAAAAGAAAATGCTAACCATTATGCCTTTCAAGTTTTTTAATTCAATAATTGAATGCAACTAAAAAAGTTAATTAAGTTTAACTAATTGATTTTTTTCAAAAAATATTTTACTTCCTTATGAATTTACTTTCGTATACATATTTCTAAGCATAAATCGCATTTTCAAGTATTACTTTAAGCTTGAGTCTAAGGAGCTTTAATTTCTTATAATACTCGTAGAACATAAGTTCATAACAAAATATTTAAGGTAAAAAAAAGTGGAGAAAAACTTTCTTGAATAAACAGTGGAAAACTAAAACTCAAACAAACTGGAAGAAACGTATTTGAAAATGCTATTACCGTCAGATAGCAAAGAAAGAAACGTTGCACGATGTTGGATTATTAAATTTTCATTCCTTAATTTCAGAATTTTCTGTACTTTTAAGAATGTTAAAAAGAAGTATTAGCCTAAGGGATAGTAATATTTATTTTAATTTTTAAAAAAAATTATAAAAATAAGTAGTGTTATCTGAAACAATTATTTGAACATATTTTTTCCATCCTTTGTACATAACAAGTGTTGAAATACATTTTATAAATTTTATTTTAAAATTGGCTGAATACACTCCTTATGGGGTAATAAAGATTGAAACAAATATTGAATCTTTAGTCATTACTAATTAATATTATGCAATTATTAGCAAAGCTATGTAAGCATCATGTTATTGAAAAAAATTTTAAATTTTTCATTTTGTTTTATTAATTGTTGCTCGCCATACTTTATTGCAAAACACTTTGAATAATCAACTAATAAAAATAATTTTTCGGTGAAGCTCAGTATCATTTGTCAGCGAAAATTATGTTTTTGCTCGCAGACAACTCATTATAGCCATTGACCACAATCAACAGGAACCACAATTACAGAACATAAATTAAATATCTATATTTGTAAATTTGCTATTTATTGAATCAGCAATATTATCACTATACCAGTAATATAAGTTACAAAACCTTAGAGGGCATCAGTGGCGTCAGTTTATTTTGGCGATTTCCTAAGGCTTTTCAAAATATAATAAGTATATTTTCTCTTTCAACTTTGCTTTTTAGTACATAAATTAGTTTCTTTTATTTTAACTACCAGTAATTTTAACCAATTAAGTTTTATAGAAACACCTTAAGAAGTGTAACTTTAAGCAAAATAAATGCGTGGTTTCAGATAACTTTCGAAATATTAATTTGATGCCTTCACATGTCATTCCCGTTTATCATTAATCTTAATCAATAAAAAAATGATTAACCATTAAATCTAATTATGAATTTGGTTCTTAACAACTTCAGTAAAAACGCGCTTTAAAAAAATATCCCTCGATTTATGCATTAATTTCATATTTTGTAATCTGCCAACTAAATTACAAAAATATTTACAAAT